CCTGCTCTAGTGGAAGGTGTCCCTGCCCGTGGCAGGGGCTGGAGCTGGAGGAGCTTTAAGGTCCCTTCCAACACAAACCAGACTGTGATGCTGTGACGGTTTGTGGTTCTGGGAGTTGAGCTAGTGATTGTAGAACCATTCAGGCCACAGCAGCAGCAGTGGGAGGACCCTGACAGGCCAGCACTCACTGTGTATGGAAATCTTATCACCACAAAGCCGAAGTGTCAGTGCTGCAGCTCTCCTTTACCTCCACAGTATTAAATGAGTTGCAGTGTACATCACTGTCAAAACATTTGTCCCAGGTTACTGTGAGTGACGACTTGGCTGCTATTGGACTGCTGACTGTCCACTGCCTTTCCACAAACCCCCCTTGATCAAGTATTTACTTGGCTGATTCTCAGGAGGCTTTATAACTGCACCACATTTCACATGTGGTATTAGCCTGTCAATGTGTCAATCTTACCTACACACTTTTTTACTCAGTTGATCTGTAAATACAAGTCAGCCCTAGAGAAGTCTAATTGCTGGTCAAGCTCCAACTCACTGATGCAAAGATAGGCTTTTATATTTATCTGAGAAAGAGAAGATAGGAGCAACCCACATTGAATTGTTAAAGATGCTAAACTGAAGTTCAGTTATTGACCTGGGCCTCTGCAGATGCACTTCCAGCTATTTCAAGCTGCACTGTTCAGTAAGTCAAAGCTCCAAGCTGATAAAGCCATCACAGCCTGTGGCACCTTGCTTACACTTTTGGAATGGTTACTCAAAAAAGATCTCTCTGGTGCTGCTTACAGCTTTGTTCCCCCACTTAAGTCTTTAACTTCCCATCTTCTGTGGTGACATCAGGGGCAGATCTATAAGAAGTAGCTTTGCAGTAATGCCAAGGCAGCAGAAAGAATTTGTGCAGGTAAGAGTTGTACCCCCAGGGGATGTTGAGGGCAGGAAGGTCTGAAGAATGCTTACACTGTGATCAACCCTTCCCAAAAATAGAAGAGCAAATTGGCAAGGTATGTGAGAGCATCTTGCTGAAGTTGATCCAGATCTCTGAGGGGGTGGACACTGCAGTGCTGAACACCACTTCCCAGGCAGGCAGTGCAAAGCAGGAAGCCTTATTCAGAAGCAGCTTGTGAAGGATGTGCTTCACTGGGACCAAAATAATCCATGGTGGTTGCTATGGATGAGCCAAGTTCCCCTCCTCCCTATGGGGAAAAACTTAAATAAAGGTATTTATGCTGTGTTAAACCCCATTAGAGACTCACACGGGGCACTGCATGACCTAACAGGCTATTTTATTTAGTGCAAATTGGTTTCCTTACACCCTGGAACCATTTTTGATATAACAGATGCCTGACAAACAAAACCAGCAAGAGTAGAAATGAGGTGCGACCTTTACCTTCCTCACTGCTCTCCTTGGGACCAGCTTCTTCCAAACCCAAACCAAAGAGATCCGAGTCATTCTTCAGTTTAAAGGAGTGGACTGTTGCTTTCACAGCCTGGGGTGGCTTTGCCAACGAGGTATCATCATCCGATAGTTCAGAGAGATCTTCCCGGACTGGGAATTCATCCTGGAGACAAGAGGAGGCAGACAACACCCACAAGCTTTCAACCCAAATCTCTCAGCATTTTGCACACCAAGGCATCAGATGTCAGCAGGTGGGAAGGAGGGAAGGAAATGGCAGCTGAACTGAGCTGTTATTGCCTGGAAATCAATGCTCCTCATCTCATAAGCTCTATTTCTTGCCTCGGTAAAATGCCTAAGTAGCACTGCTACTGGGAAATGTGCTCTGGTAACTAAAATCAAATTCCTGATGTAAAGGCATTAAATGAGACCTTCATCTGTGTTAGCTCAAGAGCAGCAGCCTCTAACTGCCCCAGAGAGGCACCTCAAATTAAATCTAATGGGCTGAGAACTCGCCTCCAGACCTGACAGACAAAACCTTGTTGCTGTGTAGCTCTGTGGGGTCTCCTGAACCAGAGGTAACCTGCAGCAGGGCCAAGGAAGTGGTGTGTTTGCAAAGTATCTCCCTTCGTCGAGTCAAAAGGGAATGTGCTTCCAGGGCACATTTGCCTCTTCAATGTGGGCTAAATAAATAGGATGCTGCAGAGACTGGATATCACCCAAAAATTCTCTGTCCTGACATGATGGGGATGGAAATGGAGTTTAATGATCTTGGGATTCCTGCCAACTGATCCTCTCCAGAATTCATTAACCATCCTTTCTTTCTATCCTCCATACTGCCCAAACACAGCCTTGCTCTGCTGCTGGTCCAGGCAATGCTCCTTCCTCCCTGCTGATGGTGGTGTTTTACTGCTCTGCCTGACCAGTAACCCTTGTAGGTGTCAAGCATTCACACACTGTGGGGCATCTCCCTGACACTGCTGCAATGGCAAAGCTTCCTCCCAGATCCTGTTTTCGTCATCACATGTGAAGAGAAGTAAACTTGCTCCAAATAATTTTGCTTTCACATTAAAGTGCCAAGAAAAGCAGGTACTGGAAATGCAAAACAAATGGAAAACTAATTAATAAAAAGCACGACACACAGGCAAGGGTGAAGAAACTGGGACAACCACCCTTTCTGCAGGACTCCAGAATGATGCAAACACGTCCAACACTCCTCAACACCAGCAACGGGACACATCAGGAGTGCCCCTGTGCAGCAAGTCCCATCCCAAATCATGGTTAGCAGTTTCTAGGGATTGCTCTGCTGTCTGTGAGTACAGATCACTGAAACCAGGGATATCTCCAGCCACAGAAGCAAGATCCTACCAGCCCAGAGAAGATAGCTGTGTTTTCTCCATCTTTAATACCCGATGGGTGCAGAGGGTTCTCCTGCTGCACCATGTTTTTGAGCAGCTGCCCACATGCTGAATGTCACTGAGACATTACAGCCAACCTGGCTACACTGGAAACTCCTTCCCAGATTTTCCTACTTCAGTAAGAAGCTTTGCCAAACAAATCTTGTTACAGCCTTATGATTGCTGTAGGGAGCTCACTCTCTGGCACTCACACACTTCTACATGTGAAACCTTGAGTGAAAACCCATTAGCTTTGTATTTTATACCTTGCACACTGCTGGACTGACTGCACCTTGGCCCTACTGAGAATAAACAGCACATTAAAACCCGTAAGCACAAACCTTGTTGCCATGTGGCTTCAACAGTCACAGCCTTAGTAGCTTTGTGCTTACATCAATCTCTACAGGTTGCTTAGCACCTGACGTGCTGTGAGTGCTGCTTAGAGATGGGGGAGCAATGAAAGCTCTGCTCATGAGATGCCTCAACATTTCAAGCTCAGCTTGGCAGCAGCACGTACCAACTCATGCATGTTATTTACCATTTTCTTCTTCTGGCTGTCAGAATCCTCACTTTCGAAGTCTGGGTCATCCATAACAAATGAGAGCATCTGAGTAGCTATTGGTCCCTCTTGATCACTGTCAGACTCCTCAGGCTTTTCCTCTTTGACCACTTTCTGCTTGAGAGCATGTCCTTTGCTTTGGGAAGTGGTCTTTGGGGCCTGGACTGCTGCTGGGGTTGCAGCAGCAGCAGCTGGCAGGCTGGTGCTGACCTTGCTGCTGCTGTTTCTTTCGGACCCAGAACGTGGAGGTAAAGTGTCAGGAGGCTTCAGGTCCATTGCTTTGGTCAAAACGGCTTCGTTCTGTGGTTTCAGAGAATTTCTGGAAGACCTGAGAAGAAAGAAACAAGCTGTCAGAGCCCGTCCACCCCCATTCTGCGGAGCAAAGCACAGTGACTAATTAGTAGCTAAGCCTGCCTCAGGGGCTGCATCTCCACAGCAGAGGTAGTTCATCCTAAGGGGGTGGCTGGTCAAACACATACCACTCAGGCTGAAAATAGCCCTCGAGTCCCTGTGGATGCTGCTGCAGAGGTGCCTGCACCATCTGGCCCACACCTGACTATCACCCACAGGATGTGGTATGTGAAGAACAGGATCCAGTCCATCCTTCTCCTGCACGGGGTATGGTAAATGACTTCCACTCCCTTCACAAGGCTCAACTCCTCTGTCCTCCTCACACAGCTATGAAGAGATGTTGAGGTGCTCAGTTCCCATCTCTGTTCAAACTGGAGGAAAAGGCTGGGCCATTGCCAAGCATAAACATTCCAGCGACCAGGAGCACAGTGCTCAAGGGCATGCTGCCTAGGTGTGGTGCAGAAAACACTGCACAGAGCAGTCCCAGCTAAAGAAAACACAGCCCCAGCTTACAGCTGAAGGAACAGACACCAGGATTCCCCAGAGGACACCCAGAAGTCAGTGGCAGGACCCAGGAGAGGCCCCTTTGCCAGCAGAACCTCACACTTCAGCCTGTGCTTTGTACCTTTTTTCCCCCTGCTCCATGTCGATGTCTTCATTAGGTGTGGGTATGACCTTAGAGCCCTTCACCTCTTCTTCCTCTTCCTCACTGGAGAGGGTGACGTTCTTGCTGGGTACCCGTTCTGCTGCCAGCATGGATCTGCTGGGGATTTTGTCATCCAGATCCAGGTCATCTTGGAAACCTGCCACCATCGGGTTCCCCCCAGGTGCCTCTCCATCGCTGCAGAATAGGCAAGGATCAGACACAGCACCCCAGGACGTGCTGAGACAGACAGGTCTCCTCCTGAAAGCAGACTGCCACTTGCTTGGGTTTTCCAGCCAACTGCAGCGTCTGTATCCCTCAGCCCAGGGCAGTGACACTGCACCACCCATCCACTGCTCCTCATGCTTCAGCCCTGCTCCCCGTGGGCTGCAGCCATGGCACAAACCCTCTGCAGAATGGGCCACAACTGGATGTGTCACAGAGTGGCTGGAAAAGCTGAGCCTCAGTGCTACAGAGCTGCCCGCTGCTCCAGCTCTACTGGAATACCTCTGGTCCAACATCAAGGATCAGTCAATCAAACCATGGGAACTGCCTGCCTTAACCCCACAGCCTGTAATTAAACCTGATCAGACACTGCCACTCCTGGGGAATTCACTTGCAGCTATTACATTGCTGAGTTTATTTCTGTGTGTCTCAGGCTCCCTGAAGCAAGCAGGTATCCAGCCACCACAACCAGGCTTTGATATTCCTCGAATTAAATTCACCTAAGGACACGCTTTCAGAGCTGGGAGTCTGTCAGCCTCCCTGGATGTAACACAGTTACGTGCTCAGAGGCAGACTGATAAGAGCTTCACAGCTGAAATTACCAGCTGAGAATTCTTGCCTCAATGTCCGCAGGACTCAACAACTTTAATACTTTCAGAAGGATTTGCTCATGTCAGGAATACAGATATTTTCCCCAGCCTCATCTGATGAGCCTTTGCATCACCCTTCCTCATTCTATTTGCTTTATGTGCAGCAGATACCCAGCTCCTTCTGACAACCCACATAAGAGCCACTGTCCTTTTAATTGCTTGATTTGGATTGTACAAACACAGCTTCATTTGTATGCAGAGACCAAAACCTGAGATTATAGCTTGGACCACACCACATTTTAGAGGCATAAAATGAGTCATCAAAACCTAAAATCCTTAATCTGGATGAAGGTGCTGCTCCCAGTCACTAACATGCGGCCAGCACTGGAAGAGGCAGTGGAGGATAGTGTGCAGATGGGATGGGAAATGCTGAGGCCTGAACACAGTCCAGATGATTGTTATTACTCAGTCTGGCTCTTCTTATGGCCAGTTACTGGTTTACAGGTTAGTTTTAAAGAATTAATACATCAGCAAAGAGGTACTATTGTGATTTGTGACATCTGGGACACCACCCTTATGACAACTAGCGCAGCATATTGACACTGATTACAACCAATGCTTGTTTGGGTTAGTGCTCAGATCCCCCTCCCTCCTTCTGCCTTTGGTGCGGCTGCCCCTGCTCGCAGCACAGCTCCCAGCTAAGCAGAGACAGGCTGCTGAAGAGCCCCTTCATAAAACACTGCTGCTCTCATCCTGAGCCAGAGAGGAGGCATACAGCCCGTCCCACACAAAGGAGGAAAGAAACTGGTGCCCAAAGCAGCAGCCAAGGCTGGAGGAATGACGAGTGATTTCTGTGGTCTGCAAAGCACTGGCAGGGTTCCTCTGGAAATGTGCTGGAAAGCAAATGGATTGCGTCCTAAAAACGGCAGGAGTTATTCTGAACTGGTGACACTGCATTTCTCTAACACTGCATTGTTCCATGAAGCACTGGGACTCTTCAGAGATTGCTGCCACTGTCCTTCTACCACACACTATGCAAGATCTGCAGCCTGTAAAGCACTCTGAACAGGATGTTCACATGTGTCCACACACCTTGCAAGGAATGCACTGCCTCTGTCTCTAACTCACACACAAAGCATGGAGTGACAGCTTGAGAGAAAGCCACGGACTGAGCACCCGTCAGAAAAACCACTGCTGCAGTATGAACAACGCAGAGGTAGTATCAGGTTGTGGTCCTGAGGCTCCAGCTGGAAGGAATCCAGAGCATGAAAACCCAAGCACATTGCACCACTCTCTCCAATGCATTTCGTGGTGCCAAGCTAGTGTTGCTAGTGTTGAGCCAACATGCTTGCAGGTGCAGGTACACACCAAAAATGACTGAGTTTGCCAAGGCCTGCGGCTGAGCTGTTGATCAAGAGCATGCCGGGGTCTTCTCCATGCTGGTGATGGAACAAATCCTGCTGCAACATGAGTGCATGGTCCCAAACCTGGATGGACTGTGTTGCACCAGCCCTGCTGTTTGGCCACAGAGCCATCAGGATCCTCTTGCCACATCATGTTTTGGGCTAGAGAATGAGGAAAAACCCAGACTCTAAAGCAGCAGATAAAGTGAGGGAATCACACACTGCAGGATGTGGCTGGCTGTACTCTAGGGACCTCTGGATGAGGCCTGGCTGTACTCTAGGAGATGAGGGTCTCCTGCTGTGAACTGGTGTCCTCAGCTTCTCTCATTTGGTCTAGTGCAGGGGGTACCACTAGAGAAATACCAGATGGCATAAAAGCAAAGAACCAGCTCAAAGCCCTTCAGATGTAAGGACTTACCTACGGCTAAGGTAAACACCTAGTGATGCTAAGAGAGATGAGGAATCCTGTAATGTACAGCACAACCTCACTTACAGACATCTACAGCCCACCTATGGACCTGGGCCAGACCGACCCAGCAGCGGGGAAGGGGGGAGCCCCTGGAGCCAGATTAGCTCCTCCAGTGCAGTCACACACCCACTGGCTCAGGTCATCAAGCTGAAGAGCAGCAAACTAGGTTCCTAAACAGCAATCCGGCAGCTGGAACTGCCTTCCTAATGAACTGGTGAAGGAACTGATTTTGGGACTTCTCTTTATTGCTAGCTAGAGAACCATAATACACCATTAAACAAAACCCAGGACTCCATTCATCTCTGTAGATCTGTGCTGGGATTTAGTTACAGCAGCTCCAAGAGATGTCAGTAAACGCTGGAAGTCTCAGCAGGTGCCTGATCACTGCGCAAGAGTAGCCTTGTTCCAGAGGCAGGAGCACGTCCCTCACTGACAGCATGCCTGAGAAACAAAGAAGTGCTTTTTTGGTAACATTACTGCTCCATGACAACTCCTGCTCTATTGTTCAGAGATGTTATGGAGCAGGAAGGGGAAGAGTTCATAGGGCATCACTGTGAACAAACCTCCAATGTCAACAAGATGGATGAGAAATCCCAGACTTCCAAACCTCTTTCCAAAGCTCAGAAAGCAAACAAGTTCTTACACATGGAAGTAAGTCCAGCCCTGAGATCAGGCAGCAGTTCAGTCACAAAGCAGAATACCCTGCTTCCGAAAGGAGAACAAGACCTTCCCCTCTTCCCTGAGGAGTCACCCTTTATGTCATTGAGCAGCTGCAATGCATGGAGCTCTGCCTGGGGATGGCTGAGGGAACAGAGCACTTATGGGTCAGGATTCGAGAGAGGACAGGTAAAGGTGACACCAGTGTCTGGAAACTGGTTGAATGACAGAGCCCATAGGATGGTGATCAGTGACACAAAGTCTAGCTGGAGGCCAGGAACTCAGTTCTGGGTGCTCCTCAGTACAAGAGAGACATGGGCATACTGGAGAGAGTCCAATAGAGGGCCACGAAGATTATGAAGTGACTGAAGCAGCTCTCACATGAGGAAAGGTTCTCCCACATGAGAGCTGGGACCACTTAGCCCAGAGAAGAGAAGGCTTGAGGGGAACCTTATAAATGTATTTCAATACCTGAAGGAGGGTGCAAGAAGATAGAGTCAGGCTCCTTTCAGTGCTGCCCAATGACAGGACAAGAGTCAAGGGGCAGAAACTGAAACACAAGAGATTCCCTGTGAAAACCAGGAAACACTTTTTCCACTGTGAGGGTGACCAAGAAATGGCACAGGTTGCCAGAGAGGCTGTGGATTCTCCATCCATGGAGATCCAGAAAACCCATCTGCAATGGTCCTGGGTGGCCCTGGCTGAGCAGGATGACCTCCAGAGGAGCTTTCCAACCTCGGCCTGGCTGTGATTCTGTGACTGTAACTGTCTCTGGTGCACATGTGAAATGCACAGAGCACTAAGGCGCTCACAATGAGCTAACTGCAAGGCTCTTGCTTACAGACAGCAAGACAGTTCCTCTTACTTGGGTAAGAGAAGAAACCTCACAGCTTCTCAAAACACAGCCCATTCTTCTGCCACATCTTCAATGGCTCTTAGTTTTGGAGCGTACACGTGGTTACAGCACACTCAGAAGAACTGCTGACAAGCTGAGTGAGCTGAACACTCAGGTATCCGCTTAAAAGCAATCAGGAGGCATGAACATGTTTCTCTAGTATGTTCTCAGGCTTCCAGTGTTTCATTTTTAAACCCAATAAAGCCTCCATTAGGTTTGGGTGGCTTCGCAGCCACTTCAGTATTCTTTAGATCAAAGATAAACGTCTGCAGCAGCAGAGCAGCAGTTTGTTGCAACTACAACAACCTACTCCCTGCAGTAGAAGCTGACTTGGGGGTGGTGCTCACAGAACTCTTACGTTGCTCCTGGGCATCACGGGGTTGCAATTGGCATCCTGAAAAATATCTATTGCAGGTGATGGTCAGAACCGTATCTGCAGCTCTGAACTTCAGCATATCTGGCTGATTCTTGTAGGCCCCTTTTGGCAAGAAACAGAAGGTAAAATTGCCAGACCACTATGAAAACCATGCGAGCTACACAAGAAACCAGAGGCAGACAGGGATGCCAAGCTGCAGAGAAATAACAAGCCTTTGAATTCTCAGGGATGTGCTCCAAGGACTTCTCCTAGGGAAACAGAGCTGTTCTAACTGCAGATGGTTACCTCTGCCGTCAAAGGATGAAGCTGTGAACAAGCATCCTCTCTGCACTCTGTGAAAGCCCAAAGCTGTTTCATTTTCTGCCCCCACAGGCTCACAGGCATTGGAGGGTTCCCAGACTGGAGACAGAAGGCACAAGGGCATCACAGCAGCCAAGAATGTGACTCCTCTCCAACCAAGGAGCAGGGCTCTTGCACAACTGTTCGAGATGTTTGGCTGTAACACCTCTTTGCTTCCAGTGACTGATGTTCTGGAGAAGCGAAGCCTTTGTTAAAGATTCAGCCTCCCACCCCCAGCAAGAGCTGCAGCTGCAGAGCTCCAAGGACCAGTCCTTCAGCAAAGCCCAGGCAGGTCAGGCTTGGCTCGCTGACATGTCCTTGTTAATCACAGCACGGCATCCACACTCAGTTGCAGCCGAAGCAGCCCGGCAGCTCCCAGCAGCTCCTGGCAACTCCCAGCAGCTCCCGGCAGATCCCAGCAGCTCCCGGCAGCTACCACTGGGGGTTTTCTTGCTTTCTTTTATTTTCTAATACAGCACCCACATGTTTGACCAGCACCAGGGATGCTGATTCAGGCTGACCTGCAGGAGCCAGGCACCGAGCATCACACACAGCACTGATTTAAGTCATTCTGGTTGAATTGAGAGAACTATGAATCATGTCAAAGACACCAAAAGATGTACAATCCTTCAGGTTCACAGATGAGCTGTATCAGCGCTTAATGACTCTTCTGGCTAAGCCACTGTGACGACAAGAGGCAGCAGACAAGTACCATTCTGAGCCAAGGGATGCACATCCTGTGGGGACACTTAAGTCACCCCTTAAGTGCTAGTCTGCCTTCAGACAGCTCACTGCATATCCTTATGTCAGGGCAGCTCAGACACAATCCCTTTTCCCTCTTCTTTGTGTTTAAAAACATCAAAGCCAGAAAAAGGAGAAAAAAAAAAAAACAACCACAAAATCCAGCTTAGAGCAGAGCTCTGCCATTTGGAGGATGGAATCACACACCGGGTTGGGTTGAAGGGACCTTAAAGCTCATCCAGTTACAACCTCCTGCCACGTGCAGACACCTTCCACTAGAGCAGGTTGCGCCAAGCCCCTGTGTCCAAGCTGGCCTTGAGCACTGCCAGGGATGGGGCAGCCACAGCTTCTCCGGGCACCCTGTGC